CTTTCAACTAGAGTTCTGGGTGAATGAGTTCTTTCCATATTAGGGAAAGCAAAAATTAAGCACAGTCATGTTATTTTAGTGATTTCCTTCTGGCAAGCATAGTCACTGAGTTCTGAAGTTACTTAGAAAAGCACTCCAGCATTCAGTCACCAGTTTCAAAGGCTCAGCAGCACTGATAGCTTTCTAATCACTGATTAACATGGATGGAGATCACAGTCTTATTACTCCACTCTTTAGTGCCAGATAGCAGCTTCTGGACTACCATTCCTTATTGTTGCAGTAGCTGCAATCCCATACAGGCTCACTTTTGTGGTGGTCATTCTTAAAGGCCTCAAGAGATCTGCATCTCTAGTCCCAGCTATATAAAGCCTTTCCTAAAGAATGGGAAGCAGGGCTATATAAAACCCAGGGTTCTTCAGGTATTCCAGTTTCCGAAATTGTAGACAGGACAAAATTGATAGGATATGGAAATGGAAAAGACTCTGTTCATTACCCAATATATTAAAAAGCATATTTCCAGATGATTTTTGTATATACAGAGGTAAATATACATCACTGAAATTCAAAAAAGATTAAATAGTCCATAATTAATAAGTGGTCTGATTTCAGATTTCATGGTTTTTATTATACCACGTCATCTGTTCAAAAATATTTATGAAATTAATGCACTAAATATTGCACTAGGTCTTGAGACTACAGAAGGAACAAACAGATAACCACACAGAAGTGGCATTTATGCCAGTGTAAAAGTGCTCCAAAAGCGAGAGGGAAGATGGGAGCACATGAGTAGGGCGTCCGTCCCTAACCTGAGGTCAGCAGAGGAAACCTCTTAGTCTGAGAGAATGAATGTGAACTAGGGAGGCAGAACTCCAAACAGAAGAACTGAGGTGGTGCACCAAAGGTAAAGAGTACTATAAGAGGTGAGGAGCTGAGGAAACAGAGAGACACAGAGCAGTAAGCCACACAGCGGCTAGAGATCTACTGTCTTACCCCGCGTTGGGCTTTGGGCTAAGAGCAACTGGAAGCAGACAGAAGGCCACAGCAGAAGAGTGATGTAGTCCCTTAGGCACTTTCCTCATCACCGAGACACAAGCCTCAATAAACACAATTTAAAGGCAAGGTTTATTTTGGCTCATGATTTTTACAGGTTTTAGCCCACAGTGGGCTGGTTCTATTAGGAAGCCTTACATGTGACAGACTACAAAGACTGCACCAGGAAATACAGTAGAGGGTAAAGAACAGGACATAGATATTTAGCAGGAAGAACTGATGAGCCTTCATGTTAACTCCATGAAGTGAAAAAACAGAAAAATTAAAAATGACTCAAATTTTCTATCTTATTCCAAAGTTCATGCTCAATACATGTGTGCAACTTTGGTAGCTTCTCCTACGGTTTTTTTTCTATGAAGGAAGAAGAAAGGTCAGCTACTAAAACTGAAAGGGAAGCTGGCAGGAGAACACTTGGTAAAGTAGCCGCTTTGTAGAAAGAGAAATCGCTGAGCAGAGAAATACAGGCCTACAGGAAAGTTCTGAAGACTCAAATGAGTCCTAAGGTCGTCCGCTGGTGGCCTTTATCTGTGAAAATTTATACTTTTCTCCAGTGCTACTCAGCAGGCAGTGTGACGATGCAATGAAGATGCGCAAGTTGAGTCAATCATAGTTTTTCACAAGGACAAAAAAGAAAGGCACTGTGGAAAGGAAGAATGTGGGCAGGGTAGTAGGCGAAAGTGATGAAATATAGTCTCAACATAACCAGAGAAGAGAAAGGTGGGCATACTAATAAAAAAGACAGCAAGACAAAGGTCTAGAGAACCCCCATGACAGCGTTTCCCAATCATTGTTTCTTATATCAATTACATAGGATGTTAACCTCCAATATGCTCCTCATTAAAAGCTTTCAGGGCCAAGCAAGTTAAGGAAATATGGATAACATAACTTTTGTGCAGATTTTCTTCCTGTGCTACTTGTAGGGCATTTAACAAGGTAATATATTACATAGGTCTCTAACGATTTATCTCCAGATAAATATGCATTTTCTAAACACTTTGGATTAATGTATGGCATCTACCTATATCTTTCAGAGACTCTCACTAAGTAAGGATCTTAAAAATGAACTTTTAGAAAGTCTGGTTTGTGAAATGTACAATAGTAGAACAGTTGAAAAGAAAGTGGTATATTACCAGATAGCAGCTTTCTAAGGCAAAGGGTTTACCTGAAAGTCCTCTTAGCTCTTAGAGTTATGAATCTTTAATCCCACTAAAAAAGCTTTAAAAAAAAGTTGACTCTAACTAAAATGTAATTAGTATTCATCCATGAAACCAATATTTCAGGAACATCTGTTATTATGTGGTATAGATGATTTTTACAGTATTCTCATCAACACAAACCTCATGATTTATATAGGGAAATAAGACACACATACACACACATACATGATTTGCTCAAGAGGGTATGACTTTTTCTCACATAAGAAGGTATAGATTCTCTTCAGGGGCACTATAGCTACCAATCCAACCCCAGTTCTGTAAGAAAAACAAGCCTGTAATTTCTAGCTTCATGGTTAAAGATGTAAAGAAAAGATATAAGCATAATTTAAACTAAAAAGAATGTTAAATAAGCAACTGACTTCAAACTCCCAATGGCAAAGGAGACAGAATCAAAAATAATGTATTACTACAATCTTTCTAGGGAACAAAAATTTTGAAGTTACACTAAGAAATGAGGGTATGATATGATATAAACCAAAACTTCATACTAATTTAAGTTTTGAGGAAAAAACCCCTAAAATAATCATGTGAATTCAGGGAAATTTAGTCTTCCCTGAAGAACTTCTTCACATTCATACTATTCATTTACCACAAAATGACAATCTTTGGGGATTAACTAACATTACTGGATTAGATTTTGGAGAACGTTAAAACCTCACATGATAAAATGATGTTCAACTTATACAAACATAAAATATACGGAAAGTTGGCCCAATGGGACTTAAAATTTGCAACTGCAACCAAATAACTATGCTCAAGTTAAAAGTGGGCTTTTAATAAAGTCAAAGTTTATACCTATTTAATTCTTTATAATTATGCTGTATATTGATTTCTGTAGTTATCATAGCTAAATATCCCATATAAATAATGTGGCAATCTGTAGTGTAATTTTATAGCAAAGTTTCTGATAAATCATGACTATTTCTTCCTTCAAATACAATAACCTAACATGAATTAGATTCCATTAGGACTCATTTTTAACAACTGTGTATGTACACTGATAACTCAAATGATACATAAAAGTTGTTTGTATACCTGTGGAGGGAGCTCAGTAGTTCAACAGAAATACAATAAAGCACTCAAAATTTTTCTGACTGATCTGTTAGGAATCCCCAAATTTGAGGGTTTTTTGTTTGTTTTGTTTTGTTTTGAGACACGGTTTCACTATGCAGTTCAGGCTGGCCTTGGGCTCACTTTGTAGCCCAGGCTGGTCTCGAACTTGGACCAATCCTTCTGTTTCAGCTTCCTTAGTGCTAGGATTATAGGAGAACATTTACACAAAATTTGAGGTTTAAAAAAAACCCAAAAACTATCAACTTGGAGAAAAGTGATGATATGTGTGAATGGAGACTATGCTCACTACCTTAAAAAATAGGGTCTTTTTTATCTAAGATCATTTGACTCAGATGTCTTTGGAAAGCATAAGAATATGCTATACAGTTGTGTAAGGCATGTTATATATGCCTGTTCTTCTCAGAGGCACAGCTAGAAATTTCATGATATCCAAACTTTAGATTGATGTTCAGGGAAAAAGTTCAGGAGACCCGCAAGGGGTGGGAGATAGAAAAAAATCATACATTCTATCCTCCCTGCAGTATTAACCACATACAGCAATCTGTCTGCGTTTCATGCTTCATGACCTTCCCATTTCAAAGTATTCAGCCATAATGGGTTAAATATTAGGAAATGTGAACAAAGCAGCAACAGTGAGCCAAGTAATAGTGGGTCTATGAATAGTAATTCACAGGGGAGCGGTAACACCAACAAGTAGGGGGGAAAAAGCCAAAAGGAAAAGAGAAACATCAGAAAAATCAATCATATCTGGAAGGAAATTCCAATATTCATTTTGCAGTAGCAGCAAATAATTTGAATGTTTATAATTTTCCAGGCTCTGTGATGGCAGAAATGACATAATTCTCCTTTCCTGGAATTATAATACTGTGCAGTAGAAAACAGTAAAGTGCTTAGACTCTGATGTTACTTAAGAGTAGCGGAGGGCAAAAAAAAATAAGTATGAAGAGATAACTAATCTTTGTTTACTTATCATTGTGAAACCACATTGTCTTGATTGTTAACTGCAATATCTTGAAAAAAAAAATTAGAACAGAAACACTAGTCCTTGAAAGGGTCCCTATCTTCATCGTTCTGTAAGCAACAGAGGTCAAGAGAAAATCTCTTCATCATTGTTTCAGTCCTTGTAGCACCCCTGGCCCTGTGCCTCACACGTGGTAAGAAGCAATAAACCGGAATGGAACTAAATCTTCTCTATGAACATCCCCTTCTCTTAATCCTTCTTCTTAGTGTTTATTATTTTACCCACTTCTTCACGTAGCTTATATTGCTCTGTCCCTGTAGCCTGATAATTTAGACAACATGAAATAATATATATTTATTTAAACAGAACTTTATGTTTATTTTTTTAACTGGAAAAGTAAATGTTAGAAACACTATCTTTTTTTCTCTAAAATACTTTACAAATTAAATTATAGGTTAGCAGCTCCAACAGAAACAAGAGCCATAACTCTAAGGTAAAGATGTATTGTTTTATGATATAAGAAAATAAAATTATAAAATGTTGACTCCTGGCCATATTTCTTTTCTAACACTGTCAAATAAAGCTAAGAAACAAAATACTGCATAATCAGCTCTAAACAGTAACATGAACTATTCTAATTTCTATGGAAGTGTACTTTCAAAATAGGAAATGAATATTCAATGGGAAAAGACACATACGTTTCATAGTTCCGTCTTCCTCCTCCTCATCCTCACTGTTTATAACCATAGTCCCCAGGTCAGATTCTAGCATCGTGCTGTTATGTTCAATCATGGTCTGGGCTCCTTCACTCATTGTGCTTGTGGCCCGCATTGTGCTCACGCTTTCTGAACTAGTCTTCACCATGGTGTGAGAATCCAGCTCATCTTCATCCTGCAAATGAAACACCACAGTGAAAAAAAGACTTCTCTCACACAACTTCTTCTTACCACAGATATGCATATATTTTTAATAATGATAAAATATTACTATTAATTTTAATTAAACATACATACAAATGCTACTTTAAGAGCCAAGATCATCCAAAAGAGCCTAACGCTTTCTGTAATTAAAGCTTAAGCAGTAGAAACTGATAAAACAAGGCTGCTAGTTGCTTTTAAAATAAGGGTCAAGATAAATTATCCACAAATACATTACAGAATATGGCGACAAACATACAAAAGAGAACACCTTTAAGATAGAATATATAGGCACTTTCTCATATAACAGACAACAATGTTTCTAACCTCTAAAATAGCCGTTAATTTTTCCTCTTAAATTGTGATAAAATATACATAACATAGAAATCACTATCTTATCCAATTTTAAGTGTAGCTTCATGGCACTAACTACATCCACAATGTTGTATAACCTTCACCAATACATTTCTATAACTTCTTCATCATCTCAAACAGAAATTGCATACTCCAGACCAGTAATTCTTCATTTCCTGCCTTTTCCCATCCCACGGTGACCACTACAGTATTTTTTTGCTCCTATGAGTCTGCCTGTTTTAGATACTGCATAAAAGTAGAATTATACCAGAGATGTTCTTTTGTATGTGGCTTATTTCACATAGCTTATGCTTTACAAGATTATGTTGCAGCATTCCTTTTTAAAGATGAATGATATTATACTGTATGCATATATCACATTTTGTTTCCTATTTATTTGTTGATGAGTATTTGGGTATTTGAGTTATTTATACCTTTTGGCTATTGTGAATAATGCTGTTATGAACACTACTATACATGTATCTATTTTGAGTCTCTGCTTTCAGGTGTTCTGGGCATGTACCTGCTGGGTCATATGGTGATTCTCTGTTTAATTTTTGAGAAACCAGTGAACTGTTTACCATAATAGCTGGGCTACCTTTATATCTTACATCTTAAGAGCCCAAGGTTCCAATCTCTCTACATTTTTGTCAACACTTACTATTTTCCTTCTGGAAAAAAATAATAGCTATCTTAATGGATTTGAAGTGACATCTCACTGTGGTTTGGTTGAATTTCTCTAGCAATGATGTTGAGCCAACTTTTCATATGCTCACTGGTCATGTGCATATCTTCTTTGGAAAAAATGTTTAAGTTCCATGAGCATTTCTTAATTGGACTGGTTTTCATAAGGAGGAGTCACTGTGCACTTGTTATGCATTCTAGAATTAGACATTCTGGATGTTATCTCTTATCAGATGTATGATTTGTAAATATTTTCTCCTATGCATTCTTTTCCCTCTGTTGATAGTTTCTTTTGATGAACGAAAGTTTTTCATTTTAGTGAAGCCCAATTTACTTTTTTTTTTGCCTATGTTTTTGTTGTACTATTGCAGTCATTAGCTTTTAAGTGCTTCATAAAAGAAACATTACAAATATAAATTAGTAATGCAAAAGGAAAATGCTCCTTAGAACATTTACTAAAAGATATACTTGAATAATTATAAGAATAACAAATCCTTTCTGCTGAAACAAAGAATCTGAAGTTTGCTAAAGCCTGATTATGTATTGAAATTTGTGTGTGTGTGTGTCCATGTGTGTGTGTGTGTTTCATTTTTAATAGAAACACACAAAGTCAAGTTCTGATGGGTCAAAACATAAAATACAGAGAACAGGAATATCAATGACATTGCAGCAACTTAAATGATTTGAAGTAACAGTATTTGGATAGCTACTTGATCACTTTCTTTCTCCTAAACCTACACAACAAGTTTTGGCATTATTACTTGAAGTCTTTTACTTTTCTTTACGGCCCTTCCTCTCTTAGAAGACTGCTTTATAGTCATGCTTTCAACTATCTGTCTTAACCACCTAAATGTCTAATGCCATCCAAAACTCAACATAAATCAGATATTATTCTACCTGTCATTCCAGCTTGTCCTTCCTCCTTGGTCCCCAATGACCACCACCCAAAGCATGGCTATCTTCACCAGCTTCCCACAAGGAACACATCAACATCTTACATTCATTCTCTCTTACTCTCTATACATAATCAGCCAAAAGTACTACAGAAAAAATCTCTTTCATCTTCACCTCTTTCATTCTCTCTGCCAGTGAGTATGTTCTCCCTTATCTAATACCTCTTCATCAAAGACCCTCTAGCCTAATTTCTAGAATCAGGCAGGCATCAGTTCAAGTCCTTTTAAATCACTCTCTAGGAATCAGCATTTTAGCCAAATCAACTTTCTGAACTTTAGTTTCTTCCGCGATATTATTCTGAAACCTATGCAAAAATGTCTGTGTGCTCTCTGAAACAAGGTAGTTTCACACTCTCCTCAAAGTACACATTACTCATCTTTCTTGCACACTTTGTATCACAATATTCTTCTACTAAAGAATCTATAATGGCTTCTAGTTCTTGCTTAGATTAAATTTTAGTTAATATTTATGCCTGTATTTTAACGTCCTCTATGTTCTTACCTCATTCTGTTTTGCCACTTAAATTATTCCATGGTTCGTATATCTTTCATTACAGACAGGTTGACCTTAACTGAATCTTTTCCCATCATAATTCCATATGATGCTATGATGCTATGATCATTAGTCTTCATCTCTATCCAGGCTAAATTTCCCCTCTAGTCATCAACTAAATTCTACTGACCAAGTATCTATTACATCCTTGGCTAATTCAGTTCTTATTCATTACCTTCTTTTCCAAACGTCTATAGAATTTACAGTCCAATTACTCATGCTTACATTTAAGTTTATGATCCATATTGTGAGCACTCATTTTACTTTAATAAATGTAAGTATGTTATAGGAAAGAATGTTTTGTAGTACTTCTGAATCTACTAAAGTGCTTTTCATTCTATATTTAAAACAGTGAGTATTTGGTATATATTTACGATTTCACAAAATTATAAAATCAAGAAGCTTTACAGGTGGATTGAAATGAACTCAGTTGAGCATTTTATATCTGGAAAAACAACAACAACAACAACACAACTGAATCTCATAGAAATTAAGAGACTTCCTTAAGGTCACACAGTGATTTAAAATATAGCTGGAAATAAGAAACAAGTTTTTTTTTTTAAATTTGCTGGCCCAATATTCCATAAAATATATGTACCTTACATTTACATTTTTATCTGCTTGAATGGTTATCAATGGAGACTTAACTGTTTATGTCACCAGCTCCATTTCCAGAAAAATATAAATTATTTGGCTCATGCTAGTCCACGCTGCCATCTTCTCACCTGGACTATTAAAATAGCTTCCTATTTTCACTATTTCTATTTTTCTTTCTTCTAGTATCACATAAAACAGGCAGATTTAGCTTTGAAAAAGAGAAATCACATCACCTTACTCCTCTTGCTACAAACTTTGCATTTAGCCTTCCATCCCACTAAGAATAAAAACCCCAAATCTTTATTAGGGCTAAATGTGATCTGGCCCAGTAACATCTGCCAACCCCATCTCCTATCACATTCTGCTTATTCATAAAGCTCTAGTCATGCTGGCCTCTTATACTGTTTCTTCAGCATTCTAAGCATGTTCTCCTTACAAAATTTAAATTGGCTGATCTTTTGGGCTGGAATTTAACTGAGGTCTCTAGTTACATGTCACCTCTTTGATGAGGCTTTTTCTGACCACCAATTTAAATTGAAGACTCCATCATTCTCCATTCTTTTATTCTTCTGTATGTTTTATAGCCTACATTTATCTTTACCTAGCCTTAGAATATAAATATGAGGAAGGCAAGAGTCTTTTAATTTTTAAATTCACAATCTGGCTTAGTATTTATTTGCCAAATCAATTTATGTTCTCACTTACTAATTCATTCAATGAGCAATTTATTACACATTTCTAATGAGTCAAGTAGTAGACCAAGCATTGGAAATACAAAGATGAGTATGACACAGTTGATTGCATTTTGCTTGTAGAAGCCTGAGGTCTAGGAGAAATCCCATGATAAGAGAACAATAAATTACAAGACAATCTCTCGAGTGCTGCAACAAAATTATTAGTACAATGAGAATCCAAGAGTAAAGCTTCTAATTTTGTCAGTAACAAAAAGGCCTCACAAAGGAGGGTGCCCTTAAGTCTTTTAAGGTTTTTTAAATTTATTAACTGTATACACATATGGCTACAAAGTGATATTTCAATACATGTATAAAATATGCACTGATAAAAAGGTAATTAATGTTTACATCTTATTGTTACTACTTTTGTGTTAGGAGCCTCCACGCTGCTCTCTCTCTTCTAGTTTCTAAGTCTTAAAGGATGAGTAGATCATAACATGCATAAATTTTGGGAGGGTATTTTATATTGCAACTTCTTTTTATATCAGAATTATATTTATATCTTTTCTCAATTCAGACACTATGCACTGAAAGGTGTCACTGTATTCCTGTGGCACCCTGTGTTAATGCCAATCATACACTTACCACAACATGCTTTAATTGTCTATACATATCCCCCATTAGTCTAACATCTGTAAGAGGAGTAACCAGAATTTGTTGACAGTAATTCCAGATATCTAGGACAAAACATTGCTTTTGTTTTACTAAACCAAATGAATGTTAAATTCATTATAACATTAACAAAGCACAGATCTAAGACTAGTATTATGCAAAGTTTTAGCAATACAACTTTATTCAAATTATATTATTTTTATAAATATAGATTACTTACTGAAAAAACACTGGAAAGAGAAATACTACTACTAACTAGTTAATTAGTTGGCCATTTGTTTAATGATAAAACAGTTACAATCAAGGAGTTAAATGCACTGTATAAAGATCTTTTTAAAGATTACTCCCACTTAATCCTCCCATTATTATCCTTCTTGTACAAATGATGAACCTGAAGTTCAACTAGGTTTAAAAATTTGTTCCAAGGTCATGTTACAAGTAAGTTAAGAAATAATGATTTCAGCTAGATCTATCTGATGTTAAGAAT